GAAAAGCACGGATCCACGATGAGCACGAAAAGCACGGATCGACGATGAGCACGTGATCATGCACCAAAGAAAAGCACGGATCCACGATGAGCACGAAAAGCACGTATCCACGATGAGCACCGAGCACCAAAAGCACGGATCGACGATGAGCACGTGATCATGCACCAAAGAAAAGCACGGATCCACGATGAGCACGAAGAGCGAGTATCAACGATGAGCACCGAGCATGAAAAGCACGTATCCACGATGAGCACCGAGCACGAAAAGCACGGATCCACGATGAGCACTGAGCACCAAAGATGAGCAGCAAGTTCCCAAAGGAGAGCACAGTCCGAGAGAGAGAGAGAGAGAGAGAGAGAGAGAGAGAGAGAGAGAGAGAGAGAGAGAGAGAGAGAGAGAGAGAGCACGATGAGCACGTCGTGTGCCGTAGTGCCCGAGATGATTAAGAAGCCTGCCCCTTCGAAGGGCGATTTCAGGGCTGGGCACAGGTGTGCGTTCAGAAGGGCCGTTTGGGCGGGCCGAACCAGTATCGCACGGCCCAGGTTGCGGGCCGGTCACCACCTGCGGACGACCCAGGTCGCAGGCCGATGAGAAAAGTTTCTCATCAGCCTGCGACCTGGGTCGTCCGCAGGTGGTGACCGGCCCGCAACCTGGGCCGTGCGATAATTAGATGACGTTTTCGAGCTTCTAAAAGCGAGTTCGAAATCTTCATGTCCTACAGCATTGGAGCATCAAAAAGGTTGCCTCTCCTTCTTCTTTTTTTCATTTTTCCAAATTCATCGAATTTTACAAGCAAGAACTCACAACAGATCGACAAGGGCAAGGAATTAAGAGACAAAGCCGGAAGAAACGGGGATGCCTCAGCTCACCTTTGGGAGATCCAAGGATGGCAACCCCTTCCGCACAAGCAACCGGACATTGTTTCCCTTTAGTGTTTCTTCAACAACTTCAACTATTCGATGAATCTGCTGCACGCCAACAATGCTCAGTCCTTCAAGTTCCTTTGCGCCTCTATCCCCTTGTGGCACACACCCTGCGATCACAAGATGTTTCTTGCTTTCCTTTCCCTTTTTTATAAGGGTGTCCATAGCTGATTGGCTTGGGGACTTCACAGTGCACCTGCAAAGTCAAAGTCAAAGTCAAAGTCAAAATCAAAGTCAAACATGCCACAACTCTCACGAAGCGAGTCAAAGTCAACGTCAAAGCCAAAGCCAAAGCCAAAGCCAAAGTCAAAGTCAAAGTCAAGCACGTCACCACTCTCACGGAGTCAAAGTCTAAGTCAGAGGCAGAGGCAGAGGCAAAGGCAGAGGCAGAGTCAAAGTCAAGCATGCTGCCGCTCTCACGAAGTGAGTCACAGTCACAGTCACAGTCACAGTCACAGTCACAGTCACAGTCAAAGTCAAAGTCACAGTCACAGTCACAGTCAAAGTCACAGTCACAGTCAGAGTCACAGTCAGAGTGTTACATGCCCAGTTGGGCGATGTACATATATAACCAAGGATCCGCAATGTGATGAAAAGGACTGAATGGACAATGCAGTGCTAGTGGAATCTCAACAAGCAGCGTACATCCTGATACATACAAAAATGTTGCTTTGTAGCGCAGTGGAAGACTTAGATATAAGTCCTGACCTGAACGGGACTGACCTCCCTCACGTAGTACAAGACAGCGTAGCGAAATGCTAGAATACCAATGACTAGCCCAAGCAATGTCGCAACGCAGACCAAACATACACCATCCTCATCACAAGGTGTGAAGGGGGGGGGCTGGCGCTACACACACGAAGAATGCGCCAGGTCCAGACCAGACACAGACGAAGAGGAGGGGATCAGACGAAGCAGAAGGGGAAGATGGGAATGTCGTCAACACCAAGTCTTCGGTACAAGTCCCAGATAATCCCTCGTCAAATGTCTGAAGCCCAATGTCGAGTCTGGATCCAAATGTCACCAATCCGCTCTCTCTCGTAGTCTGCTGATGCAGTGAAGTCAGGTAGCGAGAGGGTGAGAGGGAGATGGTGGACTGAGAAGAGGAAGAAGAAGAACTCTCTCTCTCTCTCTCTCTCTCTCTCTCTCTCTCTCTCTCTCTCTC